CTAAATACCTTCTATGCAATTACATTTTTTTCTTTGGGGATAGTAATGTTTTGAGTTATACAAATTTTACTAATTAACCCATAACTGGAGGGGAAGAGGTCGATTCATACTTTTCAAAAGGGTACTTGTGAGTACGAGCCCGACTAGAATTGAAACTCTGCTCTCAATTCTTCAATCTCCATTACACATCCGCACAGGAAAAACTGAAAAGATAAAGAAAGAAAGAAAGAAAGAAAGAAAGAAAGAAAGAAAGAAGTAAAGAAAGAAAGCGGGTGTATAACGAAAGAAAGAAAGGAAGAAATGAAAAGATAAATAAAGAAAGAATTGAAGGAAGAAAGAAAGATAAGTGGGTGTATAACGAAAGAAAGAAAGGAAGGAGAAAATGGAAAGATAAATAAAGAAATAAATAAAGAAAGAAAGAAAGAAAGAAAAAAAAGGAAGGAAAAAGAAGAAAGAAGAGAGAAAGAATGAAATAAATAAAGAAATATAAGTGAATGAAGAAAGAAAGAAAGAAAGAAAGAAAGAAAGATTATTCTTTTATTGCGAGTGAATATTGCATTAACAATTTTTTGGGGAATACCAATGATATTTCCCACGTGCAAATGCGACTATTTAACCCATAGCTTGGAGATGGGTTCATATCTTTCCAAAGAGTATTTGTACGTAAGTGAATGTAAGAACCTGACTGGAATTCGAACTCTAATTTTCTTATTGTGAACACCGAGTGAAAAAAGAAAAAAAGAATGATAAGCGTGTGGATAACGAAAGAAAGAAAAAAAAAAAAGAAAGACTAAGAGACGGACAAAAAAAAAAAAATCAGCAGTTAAAGAAAGATAAAAAGAAAGAAGGAACGTCTGTTGATTAACTGATTTTGTTTTTTTCACGGCTTATCAACCTTTTGCTCCTTAATAAAAGCGAAAACATAATTAGGATTGTAAGATTAATTCTTTTCTTTATGAGTGAATATTGCATTAAAAAGTTTTTGAGAATAATCCATATTTTTTTCCAGACACAAGTCTTACGATTTTAGCCCAAAGCTAGGATGTGATGGATTCATACTTTTCCCAAATAAATTTGCATGTAACGAATACGACTGGAATTCGAAATCGGTTCTCTTATTTCTTATACTGAGCCATTATCTATGATAGAAAATAAATGAAGAATCAGGGCAAAATGAAAAGCTCCTAACAGAAATGTTAAAACAAAGCTCTATTTCCTTTCGGCTGGTTGGTTGATTTTGTTTTACGGCATATCAACATCTCTATGGGTTATTTAATGCCAAAATTTAAATATTTTGATTGGTTTCCTTTGCCGACTTTGATTTACGACATATCAACACCTCTATGGGTTATGTAATGGCAAAATCTAAATATTTTGATTGGTTTGCTTTGTTGATTTTGTTTAGTGGCATATCAACACCTCTATGGGTTATTTAATGCCAAAATCTAAATATTTTGATTGGTTTGGTTTGGTTGGTTGATTTTTTTTAGCGACATATCAACACCTCTATGGGTTATATAATGCCGAAATTTAAATATTTTGATTGGTTTGCTTTGTTGATTTTGTTTAGCGGCATATCAACACCTCTATGGGTTATTTAATGCAAAAATCTAAATATTTGATTCGTTTGTTTTGTTGATTTTGTTTAGCGGCATATCAACACCTCTATGGGTTATGTAAAAATCTAAAAATTGGTTTGGTTGGTTGATTTTGTTTTGCGCATATCAACACCTCGCCAAAATCTAAATATTTTCATTGGTTTTTGTTGATTTTGTTTAGCGGCATATCAACACCTCTATGGGTTATTTAATACCGAAATCTAAATATTTTGATTGGTTTGGTTGGTTATTTTGTTTAATGTCAAAAAATCTAAATATTTGATTCAAAATCTAAATATTTTGATTTTTGGTTGATTGATTTTGTTTGCGGCATATCAACACCTCTATGGGTTATTTAATACCGAAATCTAAATATTTTGATTGGTTTGGTTGATTGATTTTGTTGCGGCATAACCTCTAAATACCGAAATTTATTTTGATTGGTTTGGTTGGTTGATTTTGTTTAGCGGCATATCAACACCTCTATGGGTTATTTTATGCCAAAATCTAAATATTTTGATTGGTTTGCTTGATTGATTTTGTTTAGCGGCATGTCAACACATCTATGGGTTATTTAATACCGAAATCTAAATATTTTGATCGGTTGATTTTTTTTAGCGGCATGTCAACACCTCTATGGGTTATTTAATACCGAAATCTAAATATTTTGATTGGTTTGGTTGGTTGATTTTGTTTGATTGTCAACACCTTTGGTTATTTAATACCGAAATCTAAATATTTTGATTGGTTTGGTTGGTTGATTTTGTTTAGAGGCATGTCAACACCTCCATGGGTTATTTAATACCGAAATCTAAATATTTTGATTGGTTTGGTCGGTTGATTTTGTTTAGCGGCATATCAACACCTCTATGGGTTATTTTATGCTGAAATCTAAAATGTATTGTTGGTAATATTGCTATAAAATATATTTGTCCTTATTTCTGAGATGAAGTATTGTAACTATTTACGCTATTTATATTGTTCGGATAGTTGCCCTCATGTTTATTATCATATTCACGACGTTTCGGTCTTTGTACGTTCCGGTCATCTTCAGGTGATATATTTTGGAATTAGTTCCGTGTTAGAATTAGTACTGAGGTAAAATTAATCCTGCACCCCGAAATTCGTTGACGAAAATTATTATTTTATTTTATAAAATATCTTATTCTTGATAGAATCTAAAAGCGTCTCCGCGTCCTTGTGGGTGATGACTTATTTTCCACCCTGCAACCCGTTTCTCACATATGTAACATCACAAGCCTCTCGCTTCTCTATCGCTATTTCTATGAAGAGCTTTCAGATAAACTACATTCCTTAGTTCCACCAGTCCTAACTGTAACAGCTGCTAAGACCTTCCATGCCACGCCCATTGTAGCGAACCAGCCTCATTCCTTCAAATTCCCCTGGTGAGATCTAAGCTCCTCAAGCAAAATATAATAAATAAGATAGTCTTTTGCTCAACTACTAGAATTTATTATATATATTATATATATTATATTATAGGCGTTACTACAATAATTTTACTGGCTCAAATTTAATCCTCTACTTTTACAAGAGCCAAATCAGGTTGAAAATGAAGCACTGTTGCCATATATGGGAAGGAACTGCCCAATCTTCTCTTTCCAGGCCCGATAGAATCTAAAAGCCTCTTCGTGTCCTCGTAGAAAACGAATTATTTTCCACCCTACAACCCGTTCCCCACAGACGAGACGTCGTAAGCCTCTCTCTTCTTTATCGCTATTTCCAGTGTTCAGATAAACTATATTTATTAGATCCACCAGTCCTAAACTTCACAGCTAAAACCTGCCATGCCACACCCATTGTAGAGTACGACCCTCAATCCCTTCGTATTCCCTTGGTGAGATATAAGTTCTACTCGAACAGCTTCTTCCCGTGAACCACAGCATTGTAGAAGCGATTCCCAGTTTAGGATTCATTGGCTTTTGTTAGCCCTTTTTAATGTCAAAGTAATTTCTCTTAATTTAACGCCACTCCAAAATGAAACGGAGCTCTTTTAATCATGTTAAAGAACCTCTTTTTTTATTTTTTGGCTTTCCATCAGTATACTGTATATGATTTGTCTTGATTTCACTTCCAGTGAAAGAAAGACATCCTTGTATTCCACGTCAGCAGCTGGAGGAATTTTATTATTTTCTCGCTGATATATCGCTATTTCCATGGAGAATGTTCAGACGAACTACATTCCTTAGTTTCACCAAAATGGAAAATCCAAATGGAAAATAATTCATTACCCACAAGGTCGTGGATACGCTTCTGAACTCTATCGAGAGTGGAAAGCGAAGACTGGTCATCTCTTTCCCATATATGGCACCACTATTCTTTTTAAGGAAAAAATGCATTCTTTATTTTTGATTGTGTATGTACAGAGTGCGATAGGTCGCCATTTTATATTTTTAATTTCACGCATGCGCGTTGTTTGTTGTTGACTGCACAGTATAGTAAGTTTATTGGGCACCAATTCAATCGTCATTAAATTTAGAAAAGGCATTCTGTACTTCTTGGCATACGCACCGGAAGCTCCAATACGAACATTATGTTGACCGCCGACGTGTACAAGAAAAACAATCTCTTCACCCACATCTTTTTAAAATTAAATATCAGTTTTTGACATAACTTTCCTTCTATTTATCACAAAATCATGATCTAGACCTCTGCCCCTCTGTTTTTGGTGTTGGTGAATCCATTTTAACACTAACAATCCCCCAGTAAAAGAATTTTAAATGGGTTAAATACAAAACTTCTACTATACACCTGTGTATTAATCTGTCTTAAATTGTTCTATTACTTTACCTATCTGAATTCGTTTTCATTTACCTTGTTTATATCGAGATATTTATCTATCTATAGTATTATGTTCATTTGTATATTTTATACCTCTCGGAAGCTAACATCATTTCTATCTATCTATCTATCTATCTATCTATCTATCTATCTATTAGTCCATTCATATCTACCTATTAGTCCCTTCATATCTATCTATCTATCTATCAATCTATCTATTTATCCCTTCATATCTATCTATCTATCTATCTATCTATCTATCTATCTATCTATTAGTCCCTTCATATCTACCTATTATCTATCCTTCATATCTATCTATCTATCTATCTATCTATCTATCTATTTGTCCCTTCATATCTATCTATCTATCTTTCTATCTATCTATCTATCTATCTATCTATCTATCTATTAGTCCCTTTATATCTACCTATTAGTCCCTTCATATCTATCTATCTATCTATCTATCTATCTATCTATCTATCTATTAGTCCCTTCATATCTACCTATTAGTCCCTTCATATCTATCTATTCATCCCTTCATATCTTTATCCTTCTATCTATCTATCTATCTATCCTTCATGTCTATCTCTTAGTCCCTTCATGTCTATCATCTATCTATTAGTCCCTTCATATCTACCTATTAGTCCCTTCATATCTATCTATCTATCTATCTATCTATCTATCTATCTATTAGTCCCTTCATCTCTATCTATTAGTCCCTTCATATCTATCTATCTATCTATCTATCTATCTATCTATCTATTAGTCCCTTCATCTCTATCTATTAGTCCATTCATATCTATCTATCTATCTATCTATCTATCTATCTATCTATCTATTAGTCCCTTCATGTCTACCTATTAGTCCCTTCATATCTATCTATCTATCTATCTATCTATCTATTAGTCCCTTTATATCTACCTATTAGTCCCTTCATATCTATCTATCTATCTATCTATCTATCTATCTATCTATCTATCTATGATTCGTTTCTTTTGTTGACAACAGTCTTTGCATCCATCCAGGTCTGTTGGTAAGTTTGTTAATGATCATTTCTTTCTTTCTTTATTTATTTCTTTTATTCTTTCTGTTTTTCTCGGCCTCGCGTGTTGAGTGTCCATACTCTTTCTGTTCCTTTTCTTCCTGGGTTTCTGTCTTATCTTTAAAATTGTCTTTCACCATTCTCTTTTCCTACTCCACTTCCCCCCAACCCCGTTTCTGTTTGTGCCGCATCTCACCACCACTCCCACCCTTATTCCCCCGCCATTCCTCTACCCGAAAATCGTCGGCCTGGTTACCAAGATTCAATCTAAGCTTTTACCCAACGTACATTCCACACAATTCCCAAGTAAACATTTATCGATTTAGCGACTTTCTTCCGGTAGAAACACAAGACGTGCGTAAAACTGATTTTATTGCTCAGCCGTCGGCGTTCCACATTTCTCTCCCCAACCCGCCAATTCAGTGAAATCGTCGTTGGGAAATTAGTTCTAAGGTTGTCCCGGTTAGACTCTGTCAAGCGGTTTTAACGGACGTAGTAGAAAAGAAGCGTTTCCGAAATGGTTTTATCACCGATATTGCCAGATCTGAAATTGCGTCAGGTCACCGATCTTGAGCAACGTGGGGCCTTGATGTTATTTAGATGGGTGACTACTTAGAAAATCTACTGACTGTAAGCGATTTTAGGCCTTGTGTCAGACTAAGAAGGGCTCAGTCAATAAAGTTATCCGGGCTTTAAAGGGCTTAAGAACGTCAACTATTGATCACGCTCTCAGTCCCAGAATCAGATTGGTTCTGTGGGTGTTGAAGAAAAACAAATGTGTATCAGCAATGTCTGTAAAATGGATTAGGCATCACACACACACACACGAACGCAAACACACACAAACACACATATATATGTATATATTTTTTAAGCATTTCACCCCAAGCAAGGCGGGAAGCTACTAGCACACAAGGGGTTACAGAGAGTTGTAACGAGAGCAATTAGGAATGATAGAGGAAAGGATGAAGAGAAGGATAGGGGATAGATCAGGGCATCTGGAGACGTCGATTGACATTACATTTGCATAGTTGGAGATTGTAGCTATCTGGGAAACAGGAAAAGGGGAGGGAGGTCCACAGGCGAGAGGTGAGGGACATGAAGATATTGGAGTAGAAGAGACGGCTATGGGAGTTCCGCAGGCGGGAATCGCGAGAAAATAAACTGTTGGTGTAGAAATGGCGGTTGCATTTAACTATAAAAATGTAAAAGGGTGGGACCTATATGCCAATCTAGTAGCACGCATAAATTCACGTAATCAGGACACCAGGGCAAAAAACTCATCAGGGCTGTTGCCATGAAAATATTTATAGAAAAGACAGAGGGAAGCCAAATCACGTCGGTCGGAAAGTGACAGTTATTTGTGACGTACTTTATCAAACGCCTTTGTATAATTTATATATTTATATATATATATATATATATATATATATATATATATATATATATATCATCATCCCATGACATTTTGTAATCGTAGGGCGGATCCGAATGCAAAAGCCACACTAACTCTTTTTGCACAACGGTCCATCAACGACAGCCATCTGCAATTCTGGTACAGTCATACCTGTCCAGTTTTTGATATTGTCCAACCAGTTTTTGCGTTGGCGTCCTGCCCTACGTCCATCTTCTACGGTGCCTTAAATGATAGTCTTGCACATGCTGTCGTGACTTGTAATGTGTCCAAACCACGCCATTTTCCTACGTTTGATATTGGCGAGAAGAGGTTGCTGGCAGCCCACAAAACTTTCAACACTGTTCCGCACAAACTCATTTTTTTTGTTCCCAATAGAAAAGGCCAAGGACGTTTCTTATGCATTTGATCTCAAACGATTGGATCTTTTTCTCTATATCTGCCAACCGTGTCCACGTTTCATATCCATATAGGAGAATTGAGACTATCAGCAATTTGTACAGTCTGTACTTTGTTTGAAAGCTGATTTTGCTCCTCCATACTCTTATCAATTTGACCGTGGCTTCGGCAATATATATATATATATATATATATATATATATATATATATATATATATATATATATGTATAGATAGATAGATAGATAGATAGATAGAAAGCCAGACAAACCTACCTAGGTTTCACCTAAACGGATCGTCAGGGAAAGCAAATAAAAAATTCGAGGGTTTTTCGAAACGAGTCTAGTTATCTATAATTATATATATATATATATATATATATATATATATATATATATATATATATATATATATATAGAGAGAGTAGGAAGAGTAGTATTAAAAAGTGCTAAATGAAGGTGAAAAAAAAAAATAAAAAATAAAATAACAATAACACGTAGAGATTTTAAGTTTAAAAATCAGGTCAATTATCGTCCGACGAGACCAGCAGGTCGAAACCGCGGTCGCGCATTTTAATTGACCTCCTAATTTTTAAACTTGGGACATAACAAATTCTTAATGGAATAGTCAAATTTAAATTGGGACTAAGCAGATTCTAAATGAAGTAGTCAAATTCGAAATGGAATAAGCAAATTTGACTTACTAAGTTCAAAATGGATTAGGCAAATTCAATTTGGGACTGAACAATTATTTTGCTAAAAAGACATTAAAATTAAATATTTTCATGATAAAATAATAATGTTCAACTAAACTTTACTATTGAAATGTTTTATCTTCTAGGAGCAATCAATAAATCAAAATTCATGAAAGATGTATGTTTTTTGGATGCAACTTTCGGGGCTTAAAATTTTTCACTATAGCTATCTTTTTTTTTCAAATTCTGTCTTGATATATGCATTCAGTATTTCTTTGTTGCTTTTTTTAGGGCTTTCGAGATTTGCCCTGTTGTCCCCAAAATCATTTCATTTTGAATAACTCTCCCTTATTTTTCTTTTTTAAGATTATATACAGTCTAACCATTTCTTCGTCTTCTCTTCTCCCTGATTGTCTTAACGATGAAAGTGCCAGAAACTCTAAATTTGACACAAATTTATCCATTCAAGAATAGCCTCTTGGAAGGATTGATAGTAAAATCTATACAACTCTATGCTTCGATTTTTAATTATCTGATTTACCGTCCAATTGATTTTTTTTTAATCCATGATATTTGTTTATTGAAATGATAAGTTTGAAACATTTTTCCATAATGAATCTGCTTAGTCTCAATTCAAACTTGCTTATTTCATTATGAATTTGCTTCATTCCAAATCAAACTTGGTTATTTCATTTTCAATTTTACATCCCATTTTGAACTTGGCTATTTCATCATTTTTTAGTCCCAAAACGACTTTGATTAGTCCCAAACTGAATTTGAAATGGTATATTAAAAATACATTCATGATCTAATTCGTGATTCTCAATTTAAAACGTACGGAAATTAAATTTATACTCATTTTTTTACTCATATTGTGAAGTGTGAGCTATTTGAATTTGCAAAATTTACCATAACGTAGAGACACCTTTGAGAGAAAAGCGGTCAGTTTGGGGTCTGCATTCTATCTTGTGGCATTCGAAATAGCAACATTTGTAACATTACATTGTAACGTTGCGGAATTTATGTTGTGGGGAGTTTGAAAGAACGTTTACAACGATGCAACGCAAATATTTGTGCAACCCATTCTGAAGTTGCATAAACATTGTAGTAATATTCTTTTGCTAACCGGGAGAAAATTTTTGATTGCAACGACACAGTAACAGCACCACATCCTGACTAACCATCCAAAATACAACGAGTCTAGAAAATTGGAAGAACGTTTGAACTTTTGTCCTCATCAATGTTGCTAATTTACGACGTTTCGGCCATTCTACGCTCCGGCCTTTTTCAGATTTGGAATTTCGAACTAAACTCTTTATTTCGTCCAACGGGGTAGATTGTTCTAGTTCTACTTGCCATGCCTCTTCCGTATGGCTCAGTGTCATTTATTTCGCCCTTTACCCCAACTTTCAAGAATTTTTTTTTTTCAATTGATCTCTAGCTGGGTATTGAACTTCACAACTCTTTATGTCAAATAACAGGATTCAATTTTTTATCCACAGGTCCTATTGTATAATTTTGGTGACTTACAAACCTAATCTCAGTAAATACAGGGTTCAGTTCGAAATTCCGATTTTGAAGAATGCAGGATCGTACAATGGCCGGAACGTCGTGAATATGACAATGAAGATGACACGTCCCATTCTGAACAATGTAAATAGCGTAAATAGTTACAATACCTAATCTGAACGATATATCCTGAAGAAGACCGGAAGCGTACAACGGTCGAAACGTCATGAATATGAAAATAAAGATGAGGACAACTGTCCGAACAATGTAAATCGCGTAAATAGTTGCAATAACTCATCTCAGAAATATAGTCAGATCCTGAAGAAGACCGGAGCGTTCAACGGTCGAAACGCCGTGAATATGAATGAAAAGATGAGTACAACGACCCGAACAATGTAAGTAGCATAAATAGTTGCAATACCTCATTTCAGAAATATAGACAAATCCTGAAAGAAGCTGGAGATTACAATGGCCGAAACGTCGTGAATAGGAAGATAAAGGTGAGGACAACAGTCCAAACAATGTAAATGGCGTAAATAGTTGCAATACCTCATTTCAGAAATATAGACAAATCCTGAAGAAGGCTGGAGATTACAATGGCCGAAACGTCGTGAATAGGAAGATAAAGGTTTGACACCAGTCCAAACAATGTAAATGGCGTAAATAGTTGCAATACCTCATTTCAGAAATATATGTCTCATTCTGAGAAATTCAGGCAATTATTTTGAATTTAAGCAAATCCTGAAGATAAGGCCGGAGCGTACAACGGCCGAAACATCGTGAATATGATGTCCCATTCCGAACAATGTCAATAGTTAAATAAAGAGGATTTTAGTTTGAAGATAAATAATTTGAAAACACTCATCTGAGAAATTCAGACAATTATTAGGAATTATAAGCATTATTAAATTTATGACGGTATATAGCCTCTTTATTTTGCTGTTGATTTAAAATCACCAATATACTGAAGAAGTCGGCACAAAGGGATCCAAAGAGAGAGAGAGAGAGAGAGATTGAAAGAGCTACGTCCATTCATTCTGAATTTTCAATTACGCATGCGCATTTCAAATGCGTTTGAATGATTACACATGCCGTATTCATGAACGGTTAAAATAAGTTTCTTTTTCATAAAAATTCCGTTGATTTAAACAGGGCCCCCCTTCCGTTATTCAAGAGATGAGTCCAAAAGCCATTTGGTGTGTCATGGGATATTTATATCACATCTCCCATTCTTTGTTTGATTATTTCATTTTGAATTTGGCATCTGTTCTTATACTAGACCCACAGATAACTATATTCAATATAAAATCTTTTAAACATAGAATTCGTATTTATTTTTCCGTTTAGAGTTTGTAACGCAAATACAACAGGGGTTTGCAACTTTTTGGTTTCAGTAGGGCAAAATTTCAT